CCACCCACACCCACACCCACACCTACACCCACACCCCACACCCACACCCACACCCACCCACACCCCACACCCACACCCAACCGCTGATGGCATTCAGAGTAACAAGTATGTGTGATGAACTCTATAAATTGCAGTTACGAGTGGGTGCCCTAGAGAAAGTACTGAGCTCAGGGTACCCATGTACTGAGAAAGCTCTAGCAGGGTACCCAATATGGGTACTTTGAAAATTCTCAGTAATTTTACTGATGTATGTACTGTTTGGGGTATCCGTAAAAGTACATTCACTGAATAAGTACCTGCATGGATACACAAGTCTGTAACTTTACTGAGGAAATCTCGACAGGGTATCCTAAATTTTTCGCGTTCTGTGTGGCGACTATTCATTCACCGTTTTCTTTTTTACGTACGGCTCTATATAAACAACTCGATAAATCATAAGAAAATAATCAATTTTCATACTAGTTTTTTCTAAATTATTTCTTGATTATTTCTTAGTCGAGGAAATGCCGAGCTTGGTCGTAAATTAAGATCGGACTACCCTGAAGTTGTCTACGACCAACTCAAGTTGAGTCAGATCCCGACATTGTTCCTGCTAAATTTTTGGAATTGAAAAAATTAAATTGAATAAAGTAAAAGAAAATCTAGTAAATTATCTCAAGAAAAAGAAAAAATTTTAAAAAGTCAAAGATCAGGTTCGATCCTGAACATACTGAAAATTTGGTAACAGGGTACTTAGAAATACTATACAATGGTACCCAATTCAGTACTTGATCAGTACCTTTAGGTACCCAATTACTGTGCATTTTCCAGCAGGGTACTTGCCAAAGTACCACTTAGGTACCTGTAAGTCCCTGCAAATACTTTGGTACCCAAAAGTTCCTGTGACATACTGGTATCAGGGTACTTTTTTGGGTACCCTTAACTCCGTATATTCTCTAGGGTGTGGGTGTGTGGCTATATCTACTGTAAGCCTTCACCCACACCCTATCATTGATTCATATATTATTGCATTCAGGTTTATTCAAAAGCACAGAGAACTAATGAAATTGTGATAAAAACTGGGCCTAACGAAAAATTCGTCATCGGTGGGCAAATCAGAAGAGAAGCGCAACCGGTAAAAATCTATGCAACTTTACCTTTGCAAGGTATGGTTATTTATGTCGCTTCTGTTCGTCAGTTGTTTCAACCATCATTTTAATCGAGCTTGCATGTGTTTTTTCTTTTTCTTCTTCTTTTATGTCAACAAATAAATATGCTGAGTGTTATCGTCTTGCTGCACAGAGAATAATAAAATTTTCGGCGAAAGAGCATATCATCCATCAACATCTCAGGTCTCTTGAGGGTGTGGGTGTGAGTGTGGGTGGGTGAGCCTGGGCGTGGATGTGTGAGTGTGGCTGTGGGTGGGTGGGTGGGTGTTGGTGTCGCTGTGGTTGTCGGTATGGGGTGTGGTTGTAGAGTGTAGGTGTCGGTGTGGAAGTTCACCTTACTCATACCCACACCCACATCCCACCCACACCCACACACCCACACCCACACACCCACACCCACACCCACACACCCACACCCACACTCACACCCACAC